CCTGACGACCAGTCTCTGGGAGCCAATTTGGAGACTGTGTCCCAGAGACTGAAGGGAGGACTTTAAAAAGAGGCTGGAGGAAAAGGGTGGGGCGGGGGGAGAAACAAAGAAACTTGCAGAGCCATCAAACTTGTTGACCCGAGTCTGGAAACTGTATTTCTGTCTACTTAGCTCTGACAATCTCGGGAGTTCCTGGTGTTTCTCAAATTACTCCCATCCTACAGACTGACATTATCTCAGAGTGGCACATCTGCAGCAATATTTGGGGAAGAAAGTGGACAGTTAATTATCCCAGGACAGCTCGTTTTCGCTAGTGGGTGCGAAGGGGTCAAGAGTTACAAGAAGCTGAAACTTAAGTTTTACAAAGATCTGATATCTAACTCATTTGATGCATACAGAACAAAAGGAAAGCACCGATTGGGATTTGGGCCATAGTATTTCCCGGCAATTTCTTTGAAGCTAAACAGTTCTTAAAATTTGGGGCAGGCTCATTTTATGACAGATCATCACCGGGTCGGGAAGAGGTCACCAGAAACCCAAATTCTTTATGGCCTAGATGATAGGTGAGGGGAGAGGGAGGCAATAAGGCGCCATACAGAACAGAAAACGGCAGTTATGTGTCAAGGTCAGGGTAAAGGGTTAAACTCATATGCAAATCTCTCTGCACACAAGCAGGTTACTTTAAACAAGTATAAATTAATGGGCCATTCTAGTTTTCTTTAGCTCTTTCACGGAGAATAGAGGCGCCTAACAGTGATTAACAACCCTTGTTAGCTTGTTTTAGCACAACTTCTGTAGTTTGGAGAGGGCAACAATGGTTAACATATCAATTAGGTGAGATTCTTGCAATTCTTTACAGAGGAGAGTATTGCTCAACATATCAATTAGGTCACTTAACATATCAGTTAGGGAAAAAGGATAAAAAAAACACATTTAGTAAGCCACTTTACAGGTTTGCTATAATACACATATAACGAAGCTATTTTCTTAGAGTACAACAATACTTGGTGGCAAATGTAAAGCAGCTACGTTTATTGAAGATTGCTGGAAATATTCAAGGCAAGAAACATATGGCACAAACATAAAAGTTTTGCTGGGGTGACAGGAAAGCAAAAGCACTGCACCCCTAATATATCACACAGTACACAGCAACAGCCCCCAGGTAAACCAGGCTTTTGGAATTTAAAGGATAGGTACCTCAGCTCAGCCCTCCCTAGATTTCTAGGTATGTTTGGTCTTCCGTGGTGCAAGAGAAAAAAGAGAATGAGTGAGAAGAAGAGAAAAGGCCTTTATTGAGGTAAACGGAGAGCTGCCGAAGGGATGCAAGCACCCGCTAGAAGCTTCCAGAAAAACCATGGACTTTTTATTTGGAATTTAACAGGGGTGGAACTAAAGGGAAGGCAGAATGATGTAACGACAGTTGACAGGAGGAGCCTTTGCGCTTGCGCAGAAAGCAGACTGTTTGATTTGTGAGTTTGCAAAAAGAACACAAGGGGGCACTTTCCTGTGTCAGAAGGAGCTCATACATGAGGAAAAACCTATCAATATGATTGACAGGAATGCATGCATGTCCCAGAATTCACTCTGATTTTAATTATATGCATGTGTTGTAGTGTCTACTCACGAACCCTTAACAAAGGTGAAGTGGGGAAAAGATGAATGAAGATCAGGCTAGGAGATCCAACACGCATGAGCTCTCTACTACAACATCAGAGATTATCTGGGTGTTTGTTATATGATTCTCTACCTTTCTTAGGACAATGGAAAGAGGAATGGTACTGCTTTCCCTGAGAAAAACAACAACACCTAGAACAAAATTGTATCTGGGCATGGTGACACATGCCTATAATCCCAGCACTCTGGGAAGCTGAGGTAGGAGGATTGTAAATTTAAACCGAATCTGGGTGATTTAGTGATTTAGTGAGACTCTGCTTTGAAATTTTAATAAAAGGACTAGGGGATGTAACTGTAGGAAGGCATTACATGAATGTTCAGTAAGAAGGTTCTGAATGAAGCTTTAGTACCAACAAAAAACCCAAGAGAGAGAGAGAGAGAGAGAGAGAGAGAGAGAGAGAGAGAGAGAGAAGAAGAAGAAGAAGAAGAAGAAGAAGAAGAAGAAGAAGAAGAAGAGAAGGAGGAGGAGGAGGAGGGGGAGGAGGAGGAGGAAGAGGAGCAGGAGGAGGAGGAGGAAGAGGAAGAGGAGGAGGAGGAGAAGAAGGGGGAAGCCAGAGAGAGAGAAGGAGAGGGGAGGAGGAAGAGAGAGCTGTAAGGTGAGAGCCTTAAATGCATATCACTAAGTGAAAGAATCCAGCCTGAACAGACTGGATAATCCAACTCTATATAATCCTGACTGCAGACTGTTAATCCAACTTTATTTCATTCTGGAAGGGCAAGGTCAAGCAGACAGTATCCAGGGTGGGGGAGGAGAGTGCATAGGTGGGTGGAGCACAGAATTTTCTAAAGTAGTAAAACAGTTCTGTAAGATTCAGTGAGCTCAAAACATGATGCATTTGTCAAAACCCATGGGACTTTATAGCATAGAGTGAACTGTATGTAATTATATGCTAACTAAGGTACGTTTTGTTTGCCATAAATATTATGTGTGATAGTTAAACCCAGAACCTCATGCATGTTAAGCAAGTGCTCTGCTATTGAGATATGCCCCAATCCTATCATTATGATAAAGAAAAATAAGGTTCTGTCAGCTACAGTAAGTGACTTTATTTTTTATTGTCACTCTACCCTCCTGCCCAGTCATCCAGCTAGCCTAGCCACCTGTTCTTCCAGCGCTTCTGTCTAGGTAAGCTGAGCCACCTGCCTGATTATTTTCATGATCCTGCCCTGACTGCTCTGTCTTATTGGGTTCAGACACAGAACGGACTGTGACCTCATGGGGGCCAATTATGGCTCTAGTTCCCAGGTAGTGAGAGAGGGCCCTCTACCCAGGAGAAACTGGGTATTATGGTTTGTGTCTGGTGTCCTCCATGCTGTCATGGGGGGTGCTTTTCGGAGGTGGCTGAATCGAGAGTTTGTAATTGATTCATTGTCTAGTGCTGGAATCATGGGTGTGAGTGTTACACTCACCCTAGGGTAGGTAGCCAAAGTACGATATAAGGGGCAGAGTCTTCTCTGGCTCATCCCTCTTTGCTCTTGTTGCTTTTGCTGTATTCTGTCACCATGAACTGTTGCTCCTTTGCCATGTGCCACTCTGCCTTGGAGCCAATTGATTATGTACTGAAACCTCTACAAACTGTGAGCTAAACAAACCTTTCCCTCTTTAATTTTGGGTATTGGGTATTTTGTCCAAGCAATGAGAGAAAAATAATCAACACACAGGGACAGTGCTGGGAATTTCTGTAGATCTGAGGAACTCAGGAAGCTGAGTGGATTGGGGAGAAGCAGCAGCCTCTCTGGAGGGCAGGCCGTATGTTCTTTCACGTGCCCTGGCTATCCCTTAGATGCTCAAGCCCCTAGTTTGGTCCTGGTTAGCATGTGCTCACTACACCAGAGCTCCTTTCTCAGTCTTGGCCACTGGGCCCTCACCCATCATCATCCCTTCTCCACTCACTCTTTTTTATCCACTGTTTCAATCTTTACTGATTTGACCTGTGATATCCTGAGGGGCCTGAAGTCCATGGTCCTCTGTTCAAAGGAGGGATCAAGGCCCCCAGCTCCAAAAAGGACAGGGTGACAGGTGCAGAGGCTATGGGGGACCCTGACCCAACACAGCATCCAGGTGGGGTGAGTCTGCCCCACCACAGCTAGATGAGACCCTTATTATCCTTGTCCCCTGTGACCTTAGAAGCCCCAACACCTCACACCCTAGGGAGTGAGCAGGCCAGTATGCTGCAATGTGTGTGTGTGTTGAGGGGGAGGTTGATGGTGGTTGAAACTTGGAGTGAAAATTCATAAGCACAAGTGGAAGGGAGGGATCCTGCTTCAGCAAGGAATTCTGAGTCTCTGGGCAACCTCCTGGGAACAGGGGCCCAAGGCACAGGATCATCTAGATCCATAGAAGGACTGTTGAGCCCACCATGGTCCCTGAGAGAAATGACAGCTGAACATTGGGTTGTAGGATAATGGGGGCAGATGAGGGGGGAAACAGGGTCGCAGGTCGTAGAGGGCAGGCAGTGGAGCCTGAGAAAATGCTGCCCAGCCACAGGCCAGTCCCTCTTCTTATCAAGGGCCTGGCTTGCTTAGCAAGGTAGCCCTAAGGACCACATTGGTCCCCTAGTCCCTGGTCCTCACCTGTACCCTCATTTGGTCACCTTCCTGCTTGTTCTTCCTAGGCCAGACATGTAGCTCACATCCATCAGGTCTTAACTTCTTGGAGCAAACAGTGACTACATCATTTGGGACCCCTGTCTGGCTCTCTCCCCTATCCTCTTCTAAATCTCTGGGCCTCCTCTCCTTACTGAACCTCGAACAGTCTGCACATGCACAGGCTCCCTGTACAAGGGGCAGTCCAGTCTTTCCAGCTGCATGGTTCTGAAGATGTTCTGGCTGCAACACCCACAGAGGAGGAGGAGGGATGAGTCTGTGGGCAGAGGACAGTGAAGGAGCGGGAGCCAGGCCATGGAGCAATGAGAATTTATTGTTTCTGAGGAGCAAGGGTTGTGAGCCCAGCACATGGTGGGGGGTAATCACCATGTTAATCTGCCTCAGTTCTGGGGGTAGCAGTGGCTGGGATGGAGAAGGTAGAGCTAGAGTCTGGTTTTAGCAGTCCCTTCTTGTCCCTTACAAGGGCTAGGCAGCCTGCTCAAGGGCTTCTACAAGGAGCCCTTTCCCCAAATCAAAAGGCCACCTTCTACTCCTTGAGGAGCAGGGTCTGCTTTCCTGCCTTCCTGAGTAGTGAAGGTGTTGGACAGGGGGATGGTGGGGTCAAGAGTGGAGGCCAAGGTGCCCTCTCTTGCACCTCCTGCAAGGAATATATCCTGGGTGTTGTGGAAGGGACAGAGGATGGCAGCTACAAGTGGATAACAGGATGTGCTGTTGGCCGAGTTGGGTTTCAGGGTGAGATGCTCACAGTAGTGTCCAGAGGAAGCTCAGGCCCACTGGTGTCAGGAGCTCCCCTAGCCTGACCCAGAGCCCCTCCTGCCTGGTGGATGCCTTGTTGCAGAGATTCTTGGAGCAGCAGCCCCTGATAATCCTGGCCTGCACCCCGGAGCTTGGCATCCACTCATACTCATTGTTGAAGTTGGGACATCTTGGGGCACAGCGCTTGCTGATCTGAATGTTCATTCTTAAACCTGTGAAGATAGGAGACGGTAGGTGGTCCCAGAGATGTAGGTGAATGGAAGAGGTGTGGGGGCTTTCTATTTGAGCAGTGGAATCTGATCCTACAGAGGGCACTGAAGCTACCTTCTGCTGTGTATTCATAAGCAGAACTGCTCAAGGTCACCTTCAAATAGGCATAGCAAAGAGTCAGGGTCTCTTCCAAGTCAGAAAAACCTGGGCCACCTCTTGCTGAGGACATAGGAATCAGGAGAAAAGGAGGGAAGGGGGGAGAATGGAATGTGACTGATAGTCACAGAAAACCTGTTGGGTGCCTGGAGGCTGTTTGTCCAAAGGTGCAGCAGGGACTTCTGGAGAGATAGAATTCCTATCAACCAGGGAACCACCATCCCAACCTGATTAGACGATGAATCATTTTGAGTGGAATCTACCTCTTATGGTGTGTTATATTTTACTGTATTATGTTGAATCATATGTTGTATTGCATTATATTAAGCTGCAATGTATTCTGTTTATTCTATTACAATATGTTGCAATCTACTATGTCGTGCCTCATTGTATTACACTATGATGTATTATTCTATGCCTTATTACACTGAAGTGTAATGTGCTTTGTTACACTGTGTGGTAGTGCACTGCAGGCTACAATGAACACTGCTCAGTGGCACAGGATTGAGGGTAACAAAGGAGACTCTAGCAGAGCATGGAGCACTGGACCTCCCTCGAATCTCTGACTCTGAGCAACTTTCCCCCAGGCTGTGCCCCCACACTACTAGCAAGGCAGGTCTCAAAGGCCAGGGAGTTTCCCCTGGATGGACGGCCAGCCCTAAAACATCCCCACTCCCTGCACTGAGTACCCCTGTTATGTGACCTTCCAGACCAAGAGAAACTGTAAACAAGATACTTGGGTGGAGTTTAGTTAGAGGGCACAGTATTAAAAGAAAAATAAAACAAAATGAAAATAAAACAGTGCAAGTGTGAGATTCCTTCATTCTAATTGGAAAAAAAAAAGGATTTCTTAGGGTTTGGGGCAGTCATTGCAGCGACATGGGGACCTCACACTGGAAGAAACAGCCTGCTTGGCTGAATTTTTGCCACCTCCTTTGGGAAAAATCCCATCTTGACTATTGTTTTAACCTGCTGGATGGCAGAGGGGAACAACAGCAGCTGGAGGAGCCACATAGGACGTCATGTAGAGTGTGCCCACTGTCAGAAGTCTGCTCCTCGGGGACAGGCATCTCACACTTGCACCCCACGTTAGAGACTGACCCCCAGGAAGCTGAAGAAGAGCTTTGAAGCACTGTTTCCAGGCAATCAGGGCAGACGCTGACCTGAGGTTCATTAGCAGAGTTGTGTTAAGTGAGTTTTGCTATGACTGGGCCTCCGGAGAGGAGAAGAGGGGAAACTCTGTCAGGCTGGGGCAAAGGGATCCCTGGAGGCTCAAACAGCTGGGAAGGAGCTGTGATCTGTGGACCCACATCTTAGCTTTCCAGCAGGAGCCAGGAACCCACACATGCTCAGAGGAGGTCTACCTGGGGCTCCTGGGACATTTTTATATATATCACTGTTTCCATGGGGCTAAGCACTGTGTTCCTGGATCTCTTCATAATCCTTTTTGATCTTTTTTTATTTTTTAAATTTTTGACTTGCTCTTCAAATCTGTCTTATTGCCTCTTAAACCTATGGTGTGCTGTGTGAGGGGGTAGCCTTGGTGTGTGGGGGTCTTGGGTGGTAGGATAGGGAATAAGCTCCTGTCCAGGGACAACAAGTCTCTGCTGCCTAGCTGACCCTCTTCTTGCCCCACTCTTCTGTGAATTCAGTGACAGCAGAGACTCTGTCCTGGTGACCTTTTGGTGGGAGGAGGTGTTCTATAAGGGATAGTTCTTAAAATGGCATGGGGAACATGAATAGCCACAACCAACTCCCAAGCCAGGGTGAGACTCACTGGTGTAGATGATCAGCTTGTGGGAGACACAGACTTTTTCAGTGATGCGGCACTGAACAGGCAGGCACTGGCTTATGCTGTTGACCTTGAAGCACTGGAGGCAACTCAGGTTTGAGGCTGTGGGGACATAGTGGGCATGGGACCTTGGCCCCAGTGACCCCCTCCATCCTCTCTGGATTCCCAACCCAGTCCCATTCTTCCCCTGCCTGCCCTGGCCTTACCTGGCACTGTCGTCTTGCCTCCCTTGAGCTCCATGGATGCCAAGGATACCCACAGCACCAGCACCAGCATGAGCCTCTCCATGTATCCCCCTCCCTGAGCCCTTTCTGACCTGTGCATCTCTAAGGCTCTGGAAAGAGCAGCGGGGTCACCATGGACTCTCAGCCAGCACTGCCTCTGCTCTGAGGTCTCTTCCCAACCCCCTCTTGGTACTGTTATGGGGACACAGTGGCTAGATTGGTTCTGGATCAGGGCCAGGATGACTCATGGAAGGACAGCATGTCCCTGAGCTTCTGGGAGGATGAGGGGGTAGATGGATACCTTCCCTCAGGTGTGGTGGGAGTGGCCAGGGGCTGGAGGCTGAGGGGACCTCTCAGGGGGTTGAGAAAGGGGCCCATGGAGACATGCTGATTTGAGTAGTTAGCCACATGAAGGGTAGGGAAGGGGGAGAGGAAGTCTTCCAGAAGAAGAGGAGAGAGGAGGACACATGATTGCCTAAAATCAGACTTCCCTCCTCAGATGAACTTTAGGCCAAGGGTGGGAAAAGTAGGCTGTATAATTCAGATGGGAATAGGGCACTGCTACAGGGATTCTAATAGGTGAGACCCAGGTCCACAGACCACAGCTCCTGCCCAGCTGCCGAGGCCTCCAGAGGCCCTTTTGCCCCCAGCCAGTCTCCTGGCCAGTTGACTGTCCTGTGATGGGACTCGGTCAGGATGTAAAGGTTTTTTAATGTCTTAAGGCCCCACAGGAGGTTGGTTTCTACTTTCTACCCTGTTGCCTACTGGATGCAATGTGGAACACAGCTCTCTCCCTTACCATTATTACAGCCCACCTCCTTGCTTATCTTTATGGTCATCTACAACTCCTTCCCCTTGTTGCATTATTATTATTATTACTATTACTGTTACTATTATTATTTTGGAGCCAAGGAAGCTGATTCAAGTTCTCACTGGGCCATTAGAGGTCATAGCCGCTGAGGATTCAAGGTGGAAGCTGCCTTCACACGGTAGGCTTTCTCCTATTTGGAGGTGCCCACAACCCTCTGTAAACCTCTACCACCTCACCAGGGGACCAGCATATCTGCTGTGTCCAACCCAGGAACGGGCAGGAAATGCTGCCTTCATCTGGAGGGCCACCAGCCCAGCATCTCCTGTGAGCTTCTCCTTGGATCCTGGATCCTGTCTCCTCCGCCCATCTCCCTAAGTTGCCAGATGTGTCCACCTGGGGCCAGGGACCATGACATGTAAGCTTTCACATTAGGTATTAGGCTCATTATTCCTTTCTCTTCTTTGTTCTCAAATCGTTATCTATACAGTTTGAAGACTATGGTAAGTTGGTGGGGTATAGACCTGAAGTTTGCATTGATGAACACAGCCCAGTTTCATGTCCTTAGGAGTCTTACAGAAGCTGATCCCTAGACAATAAAAGAATAAGTGCTACTTGTAGGGTGGCTGGGAAGCGCCTGTGCCCACCTTCCCAGGGGCCTGGCTTCTGCATGTAGACTCAGTAAGCCCTTTGTCCTACAACCTATCATCCACCCAGTTGCCATGTTGCCTGGTGTGGCCCAGGGGCTTGTCTAGCCACAGCTTTCCCTGGTCTTTTTATCCCATGATACTCCTGCCCTTTTTGCCACCCATTCTCTTCAAGTATGAGCTTGACGGGGATGGAACTGAAAACGTTTGGAGGGGAAGGGTCTTGTGAACTTATTCATTTGTTATATTGTATGAATATGCATTTGGTGTTCTTGCTGCAATTGATTTGAATGTGAAATTTGTAAAGTCAAAATCAGAGAGAGCAGAGGAGGGGCATGTGATGAAAAAGCCTGGATGAAAAGAGGGAGGTCGGGAGGAAATCTGTTCATGTGACATCTGGGACTGATGGCAAAGTGTCCTGGCAACCCCCCTTTAGGGTCACAGAGGTGGACAGGTAGATGACCAGAGTCAGCGTCTCCTTTGGCTTGACCCTCCATTGTCTGAATTTTGTCTGGGAATGATGCCAGGGAGTTGAGACATTCACCTGGTAAAAACAGCCATTGATAAGGCAGGTGTGGTGGTGCATGCCTGTAATCCTAGCATTTGGGAGGCTGAGGCAGGCCTTGCTGTGCCCTACCTAGTGACTTCTAGGTAGCAGGGAGCTGCTGCATGTGAGCTGAAGTGTGCCACAGCAATCCCTACCTAGTTGTGCAGCAGCAGGACTCTGCCTGGAACCTGGAGGAGCCATACCCAGAGACTCTAAGAAGCTGAGGAGCTTTGGTGTGCCACATAGTGTGAGCTGTAAGCATGCCCCATATATCGCACATACTATTCGCCTTACTATACCACTCAGAACCTGATAAGGCCCTACACAGTGACCTCAAGCAACTTGGGTGCTTCAGTGAGCTGGAGGGAGTGCTGAAGTTCCGTCCAGTGCACACCCCCCACCCAGGCAGCCTCTAAGTAGCAATAGGGAACCAGGAAATACAGGAAAATCACAAAATGAAAGAACAAAATGCACCCTCAAACCTCTACCCCATCCCAAATAATCCTAGGAGACATGGACATAGAAGAAAATGTAAGCCATTACCTCAAAATCCTGAAATGATGGCAACTGAAGTAAAGAAGCAATTCTAGGAAGTTATAAAGGAATTCAGATCAGAAATAATCTCCCAGGTAAAAGAAGAAATGATAAACATAATGAAAGAAATGCTGAACACATCCAAAGAAGACCCAGTTAAAAAAAATCGAGGAGCATGGCAAAAAGATGGAAACCTTGTATGAACAACATAAGAAAACAATAGAATACATGAAACAGACTCAAGGGGATGTCCAGAAAATAAAAAAAAAATTCATCAAAAGCTGGCAAAGGTGCCTGAATGAATGTGAAGATAGACTTTCAGATCTGGAAGACAAGATTGAAGCTAGTTAATAAGAAAAGAAAGATCTGTTAAAAGTAACAAGGAATCAGGAAATAACAACTCAACAGTCGCAAGATGATGCAAAGAAAAATAAGATTGATAAGTGTAAGTGAAAAAGAAAATAACAATACAAATGATATCAAAAGACTATTTATAGAAATAATAGCAGAAAATTTCTCAAACATAGGAAAGGAAACTTATATACAGAGAAGTGAAGCATATAGACTTCCAAATAGCCATAACCAAAATAAATCTATACCCAGACATATAATAATCAATATTCCAGAAACTCAACATAAGAACAGAATACTAAAAGCTGTTAAAGAAAAGAGACAGATAACCTATAAAGGAAAGCCCATTAGAATCACAGCAGACTTCTTAACACAAACAGTGAAGTCAAGAAGAGCATGGAGTAGAAGTATTTCAGATCCTAAAGGAAATGACTTCCAATCCAGATTGATGTATCCCTGCAAAAACTGTGCTTTAAAATTGATGGAGAAATAAGATACTTCCATGACAACGAACAGCTGAAGAATTTCATGACCACCGAGCCAACCCTGCAAAGAATACTGAAAGATATTCTAGATAGACATAAAAAACAACTACAACTCCAAGAACATCAACAGAAAAAAGCCACTAAGCAGGGCACACAATTAAAGAGAGGGGGAAAGGAAAAGAACCAACAGCAGAAACATAACATGACAAAAATAAGCCAATATTTATCAGTTATAACCATTAATGTAAATGGCCTCTATTCTCCATTTAAAAGAAACAGACTGGCAGAATGGATCAAGAAACAACATCCAACCATATGCTGTGTACAAGAAACACATCTCACCCAAAAGGAGATTCATAGGCTGAAGTCAAAGGATGGAAGACAATACTTAATGCAACAAGAACCCCCCCAAAAAGCAAGGGTAGCTGTACTTTTTGCAGACAATGTGAATTTCAAACCAAGAATGATCGGGAGGCTGAGGCAGGAGGATCATTATAAGTTTGAGACCAGCCTGGGCTATAAAGTGAGCTCAAGGCCAGCCCGAATCATATACTGAGACCTTGTCTCAAACAAACAAACAAAACAAAACAAACAGCCATTGGTGTGTGTTTTAGAAAGAGAAGGAACTGAAAAGCAAATATTCTCAGAGTACATTGCACACAATTGGAATATGTGTTATGTTATGAAAATTTTAACTTAAACATAATGCATGTGTTTTGAGATATGTATGCAAATATATATACTTTAAATATGCAAACATATCATTGTTATATATGTTTTTTTTATTTAAGGAGAAAAGAAAAAAAACACTGAAAGGGTACAAGTTATACAGATTTACAGAAGAAAAAAATGAACAGTAGGAAATCACTAGTTAATGGATTACATATTGCCATCTCAGAAATAATTGTTCAAGTCACAAAATTAAAGCTTGTAGAGTGGACATTGCAACAATGATACTGCAAACAGTTCCGTTCAATGATCCAATAAAACTCTGTGATATCATTTTCTATCTTATACACTTAAATATACATGCAGTTTGTTATATATGTTTTGAATATGCACTATACATTCATGTATGTTAATGTTATCAATATGCTTATTTGATATATACTGAATATGTTTTGTCTTGTAAATGTATAGTATTTATGTTCCTACAGTGTAAAGCAGTGTTACTCTGTTATAATTTGGTATATCTGTCATGCATGGTTGGGCATGCTGGTATATGCCTGTAATCTCAGCACTTTTGGGAGTCTGAGACAGGAGGATCACTGTGAGTTTGAGGCCAGTCTGGACTACACAGTGAGACCCTGTCTCAAAAAAATTATATATATAAATCATACAGCTATAAAGTATATGTTACACGTTTAAATGTCATATAAATTTTTTTCTTGGGGCTATTTTAACTGTAGGTCTCAGTCAGGAAAACCCAGAAACCATGGGTTGAAGGAAAGTGGACAACTCTTTATCCCCTACCTGATGGTGGCCTTTACTGTCAGGTAGGCTTCAGGATCCATATTATCTATGTGTTTCAAGTCCAGTAGAGACACAGACAGAAACAATCTGTGGAATTTTTCCAGGGAAGTGGATCTTGTGTGATGTCCAGAGGTGTCTTCTGCCATGTCTTGAGATCAGCTCCATGATCTCCATCATTGTGTTTTTGCTATGGAATGCCAAGTTGAATTTTAACATGAAAGATCACAGTGTTCTTGCTAAGCTTGTACAAATTGTCTTGTTTCCTTTTCACTTTGGCTTCTGGGATGCTCACAGCCTAATTGTTTGCCCCAGGCATATGC